AAATTATCTATAAACCAAACTGAACGATTGTTGTTCTCTACTTTTAATAAATTATTTATTTAAAAATTAATTGTTTAACAAGGATGCATAAAAACCTCATTTTATTTCAGTGTTAAATTCTGTTTAAAGTAACAGATCATTAAAAATGTCTCCGAACCTTTACTGGTTGATCATTTTCTTTATTCGGACCCTGCTGGTTTTCATTGGTTACCTGCTGGATAAAACCTGGAACTAAACGCTATTTCTGACATTTGAACTGAAAAATCTTCCTGGATGAGAATCGAAACGTCTTCAAACTTGGAAACAAAGTCCAGTGGATTGATTTTAAGTTTTTTGGGAATGACTCTGACCTGGATGACTGAGAATCTTCACCAGCATATTTTCCTAAACCTGTTTGGGGATTAAAGCTTCTGATGTTAATCTCTGGATTTCTGAAATCCTGGAAATTTGCACCTAGAGGTCAGAGCAGCTCTGAGAAGGTTGCAGTTCCCGGTTCGATCCCCACAGACTGACACTCTAAGTCTCTGAGCAAGACCCTTAACCCCCCACTGCTCCCCGGGCGCCGCACCATGGCAGCCCTCTGCTTCCCAAGGGGAGGGGTTAAATGCAAAGAGAGATTTTCTTCCTTATGGGACAATAAAGGGATTTATATTTCTTTATTTTATCTAAGAAAATGTTTAAAGAAGCTAAAAGAAGATGAAAGTAATGGATGATTTTTATTTTAATGTTTATTTTCTTTCTTTTCTTGGTGATTTGTTGTATTTTTGGTTTGTTTGTACTGAATAGAAATACTTTTCCAGACAGGGCAGGTGTTAAAGTTTATGTTTCATTGTTTTTATTTAATGATCAGATTATTCTGTAAACCATGAAAGAAATGAAATTGATCAAAAAGTCTTCATTGTTGAGTCTGTGTAAAGTTTTAAGCTTAACCTGCACCGCTGCCATGTGTGTGTGGGGGGGTTATAAAGTGGAGCGTGCCAACAAGCATCATCTGAGCCGTGGAGCCAAACCCCCCCACGTGCTCCAGATCAGCAGAACAAAAGGAGGAGAACCAGAGAGGGCCCATACGGCCCCGAGGGCCACATTGTGCTCCCTGTGTGTCCCCGGCCGCCCCCCACACTGCGGCGTCTGTAAAGGCCCGGTTTGTCCCAGCAGAGCTCTGGCACGCCGTGCTCAGGACACGCTGCTAAATCCCATTAGTGCGTCCAGAGAGCCAGTTACTGTCAGTCATCATGAGGCGGGCCCTGCAGGAAGCTGCAGCTTTTTAATTAACTCTAAAAACAAGATGCAGGTTTCCACTCTGATGAGCTTCAATGTGTCACAGCAAGAGTCCGACCAGCAGAGACCCCAGGAACAAAACGCCTCCCAACTTCCTCAGGAGGAACTGCTGCGGTTCCAACTCCACCGCAAACAAAGCAACTTAAAACTAAACTATAGAGAGTTGGAGAACGTTCTTCCAAATTAATCTGATGCCAAAATAAGCCTTTTTTTTTTTAATAAGTGCATCTTGTCTTGAATTAAGGAGGGAAGTGAGACACTTTGCTAATGGAACAAAACTATTTACGCTTTTTCAAGTGTAAATATCTAATTATCTTATTTTAAGAGTAAAGATATTAATTGGATCTGCTCAAATTAAGTATAAATTCACTTAAAGATATTTTTACTTATTTCTAGATTGTTTTTGCAGTTTGATCACATTTGATCCATTTACCTCAAAAACAGCAGAAATCAGAGATTAACTAACTAAAACCAAAGCAGCTTTTTCTCTCCTCTATCTGGGATCCAATCCTTTCTACTCAGATCAGTTGGGATTAAAATAAATTAGGAGAGAATCTCTGTATTTATTATTTTCAGCAGTTTCAGGTATCGCCTCGTCTCCAGGAGTCCGGTTCATCCGGGGGTCAAAGTTCATCCGCTTCAGGCTTCATCCGGGTTCAAACAGGAACCGCCAACCTTTCAGGACGTCAACCAGGAAGTGGAGAGAAAGAGAAAAGAGGAGCACAGGAGTTTAGGAAAGCTCACCAAGGTGTTTGGTTTCCAGTCAGATAATGAGTCTAAAAAACCATCAGTCTGCAGCAACCTGGGAGCAGATCTACCTGGATCCATCCACCATCCGTCCGTCCGTCCATTTAACCGTCATCCATCCATCCATCCTGCATCCATCCATCCGTCCGTCCGTCCGGCAGGGGACTCAGGACGCAGCCCTGAGGGGAGGGGCTTAGACCAATGACATCAGAGGCGTTCTGACTGAGGTCTGTTGGTGAGGAAGTCTAGCAGCCAATAGCAGAGGGGTGTATTGAAGCCCAGCTGTCCCAGTTTGCCCATCAGATGCTGTGGGATGATGGTGCTGAAAGCTGAACTGAATATATATTTATATATAGAGTAGACACAAAAATTAAAGGAACACTGTAATCAGAGTAAAGCATCAAGTTAATTAAACTTGTGGGATATTGATTGGTCAGGTCAGTAGCAGAGGGGGTGTTAATCAGTTTCAGCTGCTTTGGTGTTAATGAAATGAACAACAGGTGAACTAGAGGAGCAACAACAAAACAGGAATGGTTTTACAGGTGGAGGCCGCTGACATTTTCCCCTCCTCATCTTTTCTGACTGTTTTTCACCAGTTTAGCATTTGGCTAGGGTCACTGTCACTACTGTTAGCATGAGGCGGGTTCACCCTGAGCACATGTGACAGACGTGAAAGAGTCTGGAGAAGCCGTGGAGAACGTTCTGCTGCCTGGAACATCGTTCAGCATGAGCGGTTTGGTGGGGGGTCAGTGATGGTCTGGGGAGGCATATCCATGGAGGGACGCACAGACCTATACAGGCTAGACAACACCACCCTGACTGCCATTAGGGATCGGGATGAAATCCTTACACCCATTATCAGACCCTCTGCTGGTGCAGTGGGTCCTGGGTAGAGCAGGGAATATTAGCCCGAACCCGACGGGACCTCTCGGGTCCCGTCGGGTTCGGGCTGTACTTTTTATTATTTCATTCGGGCCGGGCCGGGCTCGGGCTTTAAACCGTTATATGCGCGGCAAATAAATGATCATGTGATAACGTTCGATCTATACGCGATGAATGCAAATGAATGCAAAATGGATGTTACAGAAGTGAAACGGAGATTAGCCCTTAATGCGCACAATTGAAAAATGTCGGGCTGCAAAAGGGTCGGGCTCTACGAAGCTGTCAATCATAACGGGCCGGGCCGGGCACGGGCCTGGTTCTTTCGGACTCGGGTCGGTTTCGGGCTGACTTTCAAGGCCCGTTTCATGCTCTAGTCTTGGGTTCCTCCTGGTGCACGACAATGCCCGGCCTCACGTGGCGAGAGTCTGCAGGCAGTTCCTGGAGGATGAAGGAATTTATACCATTGAGATCTGATGTGTTTTCAATGTGTTCCTTTCATTTTTTTGAGCAGTGTATTTCTGTATACATCTATAGATATACACACGTGAACAGGATTGTTTGCCTCCCTCATTTAATGAAAGAAAACCCACAATGGTCACCGAAATAATGTGAATCTGTCAATAATAATAAATACCAATTCTATAACGATGAACAAAAGATGATTTTTAATTAGGATTCAACAGAATAGGAAGAAAAAAACTCATGAAACAGACCTGGACCAACATGATGGTTCTTCTAGAAAAGTCTGAGAATAATGTGAGTTAATCAGGGCGTGTCCACTAATTAGCATCTAGTTAACAGCAATTTAGTAGCCAGTCAGTGGATCTATATATAGAGCTACATGGTGTGTACCACACTCTACATGGAGGAGAAAATGACAGAGCAGCTTGTCAAAGCTAACGGCTATCAGAGCATCTCCACGCAGCTTTAACGCTCCTCTGACTGCAGCTGAACATCTAGGATCCATGGACTGAAGAAGGCCTACCTGGACGCGTCTGCAGGAGGACAACTGAGGAAGATCCCAGAAAAACTTCTACAGAGATTAGAGGTGAACTTCAGTCTGAAGGAACATCAGAGTCAGATCGCAGCATCGCTCACCTGGAAACCATCCAGGAGGAACCATGGATGAAACGGATCATAAAAAACAGACTGGAATTCACCAAACATGAAACAAAGGAGACAGAGGAGACAAACATGGAGCTTTATGCCAACAATCATCTGCTCTATGATCCCAGATCAAGACTGTGGAGCATGGAGGAGGCTGTGTCATGCTCTGGGCTGCTTTGCTTCATCTGAATCTCTGCAGGGTCCAATGAAATCTCCAGACTATCAGGGATGGTAGAGAAACAGCTGCAGAAAGATTGGTCTGCAGCAGGTCAAAGGTCAGAGATAGAAACAGCCGAGAACGGCTGAGAGGGAAACGGTGGACTTAAGGGGCCCCTAGGGGCCCCTGACCTCCATCCTACTGAGCATCTCTGGAAGGAGCTGAAACAGCCTGAGACTCCTGGAGGAGGAGCAGAGCTCTGACTGACAGGAGCAGGAACCAATCAAGAAAGCAGCTCCTAAATCAGGCTTTTATTTTATTGAAAAGAAAAGATTGAATTTGTTCATTTTCATTTAATTTTTTCCTTTATTAAATCCAACCATTTTATCCACGTGCTTTTATCTCTAGTTTTCTATTTGCAATCTATTTTTGTTTTTTTTAATTGATCCAAAGTTTTATTTCTAAATGTTAACATTCCAATAATCCATTGAATCAATCATCTGATGATGCAGCAGCTCCTGCCGGTTCCTCCTGCAGCTCCTGCCGGTTCCTCCTGCAGCTCCTGCCGGTTCCTCCTGCAGCTCCTGCCGGGTCCTCCTGCAGCTCCTGCCGGGTCCTCCTGCAGCTCCTGCCGGGTCCTCCTGCAGCTCCTGCCGGGTCCTCCTGCAGCTCCTGCCGGGTCCTCCTGCAGCATCTCTCCTCCTCAGCGAAGCGATGACTCGCTTCTAATCCCTTTTTGATGAACTTGGTTGATGGACCTCCTGCTGTGACTCTGGCTCCGTTCATTAGGCAGCACACGACCTTCTCCACGCCCACGGACCACGCAAGGCGCGTCCCCCCGGCCCATAAATGCCCGTCCCAGTGCGGGGAGGTCTGAACTTCCAGCGCAGCGCCGCCTGCTTCTGACCCGCAGGAGGAGCGATGAGGAAAGGCCTGTTTGCGCCCTTGAACCCAGGAAGCCCAGGAGCCGGACTCGGCCCCGCGGCCCCCGCGGACCTCAGTGGGAACATCCACGTCCTTCTGCAGGAGCAACCCGACGCTGCGCGCGCCAGAGACGCCCGCGACTTCTACGAGGCTCCGCGCGCCCTCGTGGAGCTTCGGTTGGGCCCCGGCGGGAGCGCGCTGCGCCACCTGCAGCCGGACAGGTGCGCCCTGGAGCGCGCGCAGCGGCGGCGGCGCCTGGCCGCCAACGCCCGGGAGAGGAGGAGGATGCTGGGACTGAACGTGGCCTTCGACCGGCTGCGGAGCGTCATCCCGAACCTGCAGAGCCAGAAGAAACTGTCCAAGTCTGAGACGCTGCAGATGGCGCAGATCTACATCAGCACCCTGAGCGAGCTGCTGCAGGACGGAGCCGCAGAGCCGGGACCTGACGGGGAGGCCCGGAGCGCAGAGAGGAGCAGATAACCTGGACTGAGGGCCCCCGGGGGCCCCGGAGGGCCCAGACCCGCACAGCTTGATGATTGTAAATAAATGGTTCCTGTTTGAAAGCGGCTCTTTATGTTCATTCGGTGAGGAAGTTTTTCATCTCATCAGAAATGAATAAAAACATTCCATTAGTTACTGAAAGTAGCAATTTTTATTATCTTAAAATTATTTACATGTAACCAAAAACACAAATCTGCAAATTGGTACAAAGATCAAGTTTCCTGCAGAAGCTGTCTGTCCATCCGTCCAAAACAACCGGGAGAAAAAAGCTTTAGAAAAAGAAAAATAGAGTCCGATCCAGAAAAGTCTAGCATCTAAAATTAAATTTACCCCCCCACCCCACCCCCATTGAATCTATGTACAGGATCTATGTACAGAAAGCTGTTCCATTCACTCTGCAGACGTCCAGGAATAAAGCTCTGTAAACTTCTGAGAACAGGAGTGTGACTGAAATGTGTTTGATGCTTTGAACTGATTTAGAAACATTAAAAAAAAACCTTTGATGTAACAAAGTCCAACAGAAGAGAAAAGGTTTTCTAGAACGAGTCGCTCAGATGCAGCAGGAGGCTCTGCTGCTGGTCGGCCCCTCCTCCGCTGAGCTCCCCTCCAAACATGAACAATCAGGATCTGAGGAGCCAATCAGGTTCAGCGTTGCTGGGAGGTGAACGTTTCACTGTTGCTCCTTTAACCTCCCTCATACCTAGAGCTAGAGAAACCAGAGTCACATCTAGAGACCTTCTCTTCTATAAAGCAGGTTAATGGTTCTCATTTTCCTTCAGGTTTAGAGCGCCGTTTGGGTCACGGTGCGTTCTTCCTGTCACTTCCTGTTAGATGAAGCTCAGCTCATAACTAGACATGATTGACAGGTAGAAGGCGTCCAGATGACATTAAGTGAGAGCAGATATTCTAGGAGCTAAAGATCTTTCTGGCCATCTGGGGCCAAAGGTGAGCAGGAGCTGCAGCCTGGAGAAGAGGAGGCGCATGAGGACAGGAAGTAGATGAAGGACCTGTGGTCTGATTGGCTTTCCAGACGGAGGAAAGTAGCTCCGCCCACAGGAACGTTTCCTCCAATCAGTCTTTGGTTCTGATCAGCTTCTGCGCTTTCAGCACCTCTGGTTCCTCAGCATCTCCACCACAGAACCCAGAGGAGGAGGAGGAGAGGAGCATCATCTCTGGATGTTTGAAGCTTTGGGGACCCGGGGGGGGCGGGGGCGGGGGCAGCAGACACTCAGGTCAGACTGGAACCTTCACAGAACTTCCATCCCAGGCAGAAACCAGTCAGAGAACAGACATCCTGGGGAACAAACTGGTGCAGAGGTGGAGGGGGCTCAGGGGGAGCGGTGGGAGGGGCCTATAACTGGAGGAGGCGGAGCCTGTCCCAGTGTGTGCAGCAGGCTCTAGCAGTGCTCCAGGTAGTCGATGATCCGGGAAATAGACTTCTGTCCCGCGGTGCCGACGTCACACTGCGGACAGAACAGAGGTTCATTTACAGGATGGATGCTTCAATATCAGTGAATGAATCAGTCAGTCAGTGAATCAGTCAATCAGTCAGTGAATCAGTCAGTCAGTGAATCAATCAGTGAATCAGTCAGTCAGTGAATCAATCAGTGAATCAGTCAGTCAGTCAGTGAATCAGTCAATCAGTCAGTGAATCAGTCAGTCAGTGAATCAATCAGTGAATCAGTCAGTCAGTCAGTGAATCAGTCAGTCAGTCAGTGAATCAGTCAGTCAGTGAATCAATCAGTGAATCAGTCAGTCAGTCAGTGAATCAGTCAGTGAATCAGTCAGTGAATCAGTCAGTCAGTGAATCAGTCAGTCAGTCAGTCAATCAGTCAGTCAGTGAATCAGTCAGTCAGTCAGTGAGTCAGTGAGTCAGTCAGTCAGTGAATCAGTCAGTCAGTCAGTGAGTCAGTCAGTGAATCAGTCAGTGAATCAGTCAGTCAATCAGTGAGTCAGTCAGTGAATCAGTCAGTCAATCAGTGAGTCAGTCAGTCAGTCAGTGAATCAGTCAGTGAATCAGTCAGTGAATCAGTCAGTCAGTGAATCAGTCAGTCAGTCAGTGAATCAGTCAGTCAGTCAGTGAATCAGTCAGTGAATCAGTCAGTCAATCAGTGAGTCAGTCAGTCAGTCAGTGAATCAGTCAGTGAATCAGTCAGTGAATCAGTCAGTGAATCAGTCAGTCAGTGAGTCAGTCAGTGAATCAGTCAGTGAATCAGTCAGTCAGTGAGTCAGTCAGTGAATCAGTCAGTGAATCAGTCAGTGAATCAGTGAATCAGTGAATCAGTCAGTGAATCAGTCAGTGAATCAGTGAATCAGTGAATCAGTCAGTGAATCAGTCAGTCAGTGAATCAGTGAATCAGTCAGTGAATCAGTCAGTCAGTGAATCAGTCAGTGAATCAGTCAGTCAGTGAATCAGTCAGTGAATCAGTCAGTCAGTGAATCAGTCAGTGAGTCAGTGAATCAGTCAGTGAATCAGTCAGTCAGTGAATCAGTCAGTCAGTGAATCAGTCAGTCAGTGAATCAGTCAGTCAGTGAATCAGTCAGTCAGTGAATCAGTCAGTCAGTGAATCAGTCAGTGAATCAGTCAGTCAGTGAATCAGTCAGTCAGTGAATCAGTCAGTCAGTGAATCAGTCAGTGAATCAGTCAGTGAATCAGTCAGTGAATCAGTCAGTGAATCAGTCAGTGAATCAGTCAGTGAATCAGTGAATCAGTCAGTGAATCAGTCAGTCAGTGAATCAGTGAATCAGTCAGTGAATCAGTCAGTCAGTGAATCAGTCAGTCAGTGAATCAGTCAGTCAGTGAATCAGTCAGTGAATCAGTCAGTCAGTGAATCAGTGAATCAGTCAGTCAGTCAGTGAATCAGTGAATCAGTCAGTCAGTGAATCAGTCAGTCAGTGAATCAGTCAGTCAGTGAATCAGTCAGTCAGTGAATCAGTCAGTGAATCAGTCAGTGAATCAGTCAGTCAGTGAATCAGTCAGTCAGTGAATCAGTCAGTGAATCAGTCAGTCAGTGAATCAGTCAGTCAGTGAATCAGTCAGTCAGTGAATCAGTCAGTCAGTGAATCAGTCAGTGAATCAGTCAGTGAATCAGTCAGTGAATCAGTCAGTGAATCAGTCAGTCAGTGAATCAGTCAGTCAGTGAATCAGTCCGTCAGTGAATCAATCAGTGAATCAGTCAGTCAGTGAATCAATCAGTGAATCAGTCAGTCAGTCAGTGAATCAGTCAGTCAGTCAGTGAATCAGTCAATCAGTCAGTGAATCAGTCAGTCAGTGAATCAATCAGTGAATCAGTCAGTCAGTCAGTGAATCAGTCAGTCAGTCAGTGAATCAGTCAGTCAGTGAATCAATCAGTGAATCAGTCAGTCAGTCAGTGAATCAGTCAGTGAATCAGTCAGTGAATCAGTCAGTCAGTGAATCAGTCAGTCAGTCAGTCAATCAGTCAGTCAGTGAATCAGTCAGTCAGTCAGTGAGTCAGTGAGTCAGTCAGTCAGTGAATCAGTCAGTCAGTCAGTGAGTCAGTCAGTGAATCAGTCAGTGAATCAGTCAGTCAATCAGTGAGTCAGTCAGTGAATCAGTCAGTCAATCAGTGAGTCAGTCAGTCAGTCAGTGAATCAGTCAGTGAATCAGTCAGTGAATCAGTCAGTCAGTGAATCAGTCAGTCAGTCAGTGAATCAGTCAGTCAGTCAGTGAATCAGTCAGTGAATCAGTCAGTCAATCAGTGAGTCAGTCAGTCAGTCAGTGAATCAGTCAGTGAATCAGTCAGTGAATCAGTCAGTGAATCAGTCAGTCAGTGAATCAGTCAGTGAATCAGTCAGTGAATCAGTCAGTCAGTGAGTCAGTCAGTGAATCAGTCAGTGAATCAGTCAGTCAGTGAATCAGTCAGTCAGTGAATCAGTCAGTCAGTGAATCAGTCAGTGAATCAGTCAGTGAATCAGTCAGTGAATCAGTCAGTGAATCAGTGAATCAGTCAGTGAATCAGTCAGTGAATCAGTCAGTGAATCAGTGAATCAGTCAGTGAATCAGTCAGTCAGTGAATCAGTCAGTCAGTGAATCAGTCAGTCAGTGAATCAGTCCGTCAGTGAATCAGTCCGTCAGTGAATCAGTCAGTGAATCAGTCAGTGAATCAGTCAGTGAATCAGTCAGTGAATCAGTCAGTGAATCAGTCAGTGAATCAGTCAGTCAGTGAATCAGTCAGTGAATCAGTCCGTCAGTGAATCAGTCAGTCAGTGAATCAGTCAGTCAGTGAATCAGTCAGTGAATCAGTCAGTGAATCAGTCAGTGAATCAGTCAGTGAATCAGTCAGTCATCTGCATCATCACTGCAGGGAGCTGAACGGTCTGAGACTAAACTTGAACTCAGTTGAAGTTGTAGCTGAGGAAATGTTAGCAGAGGCTCTCTGTGATGCTAGCAGCTAACAGCAGCCTGACCTCTGACCCCTGACCTCTGGCTCTGCAGGAGGAAGGTCTCCCCAGAGAAAGAAGGCGTGACTCACTGTGAGGTTCATGAAGTTCAGGAACTTCTTCAGCATCTCTGTCATGATGGAGAAATCTCCTTTCGGCAGGTTTTCCCTGACGGTCGTCACATTCATCTGGTAAACAGAGACGGTCGTCATGGAGACGGAAACCAGGTGATTTCTGCAGATGTTTGAGGCTTCAGACCTCCTGGTCCTGATACTCACCGGGCTCCCCTGGCACAGGCAGCCCAGCAGCAGGGCGGTGTAGGACGCCACGATGCTGTCCTCCATGTGCTTCCCCGCGTGCTGCAGAGCTACAAGGAACAAACAGGACATTCTTCAGTTCGGTTCCGTTCGGTTCGCCGATAGAATCCGGACCTCTGATCTACCTTTGTTCAGATCCAGCGGCTCATCCTCCTCCTCGTCCTTCTTCTTGCCTTCGTCCTGTTTCTCAGAGGCGTTGTCGTTGGCGACCCACTGGATCTCTCCTCCGGTCTCCTGCCACTCCCCGCTCTGGTCGAGCGCGGGCTTCGGGGCTTCTTTGATGAGGTCATCGGTCTGCGCCTCGGCCAGCACGGCGGCTCGCTCACGCTGCAGGAAGAGCTGAGGAGACGGGAGGAGTTGGATCAGAGCGCCTCCCTGAGGTTTAATCTGAGCCGTCTCAGGAGGGAACCGTACCTGCACCAGAGCAGCGATGGCGCTGAGTGGACCGCCGCTGCTGCCAAGGTCCTGATGCTGCTCGCCAAGCAGGACGGTGGAGTCACAGGGCCCCTGGCCCCCCTCCATCTCCATCTCAATCAGGAAGTACCTGTTCCTGGCGCTGTACTCCACCAGGTTGATGAGCAGACCCAGACCCTGGATGATCCACAGACAAAGCTCCAGCATCAGCCCAGCAGCTCCACCCTGTCAGATTGTTCAGAGACGCCATACCAACCAGAACTCTGATGTCGAATCTCTGCTCCTGCAGAAGGAACTGGGGGACTTTGAGGACGCAGTTGAGCGCCGTCTCTATCAGAGCGTCCTGCTCGCCCGCCTTGGTGCTGCCCCACTCTGCAGAGCCACAGCACACATGAGAAGAAAGGCCAGAGCCGCTGACAGGAAGCTGCCGCGGCCTGCCGCCTCACCGTTATCGTGCGTCAGGTTGAGCAGGACTCCGATGATGGCCCTCATGCAGTCCTCCACCGCCTTCCCCAACGGCGCTCCATCTGAGCTGCTCTGCCGGCTGTACCTCTGGATCATCTGCTCACACCTCCTCAGAGCCCTGAGAACAAACAGAGGGTCACCTGGTGTGACATCCTCCCTCAGCGGCACTACGACCTCCCAGTCTGGCAGGTGACATCAACTGGATCACCTCCAGCTTATAAACTGGACTCATTCAGCGAGGGGGGGGGGGGGGGGGGGGGGGGGGGGGTCAGAGCGCTGATGGAAATAATCCAATTAGATGAAATGTCAGTGAATGAACAGAGCCGTGTGGAACATCTGCAGGAGATGAACCCTGCTGTTCCCAGAGGAGGGAGGGTCCTCCTCCAGATGCTTCAGCTCCTTCAGTCGGGGGGGGGGGGACCATGACCTGCTGTGGCCCCCGCGCTCAGACAGAAGGTCTGGTTTCCCTCATGGTCAGCTCCATGGTTTAGAGTCTCATTTTGGTTCCAGATTTAGACCGGATTTCATTAAGGGGAAACGGAGTGGAGGGGCTGAGCAGAAATGCTGAGTCATGTTTCACATGTTCACACCTCAATAAAACAGCAGGAACCTTCAGTGTGACAGAAGGATGGTTTACATCATCACCCTGAAGGTCAGAGAGAACCGGGAACCCCCGGGCAGAACGTGGACCCAGTGAGTTCCTCATCATGTTAGTGGGGAGGAGAATGTGTGGCGGAGCAGCCATGGGTCCTTCTGCAGCTAATCGAGTTAAAGCAGCAGCTGAAGCCTCACAGACAGCAGCTCTTTGTCCCCCCCCTCAGGTCAGCAAGGGGCCAGAGGATCCAGGAGGTAAACTAGCTGTTTAGGCTCCGCCCAGAAACCACTGCAGAGCTGCTGCTGCTCTTCTTCTGCAGCCGTCCCAGCTCTGGGCATTGCTGCCCCCTGGTGGCAGCTACCAGCTGCAGGTTGGTCAAACAGAACCAATCCTTCTTTAATAGAATAAATAAATATGCATTTAAATATTAATTTAAATATCAGCTTGTTGACTAAGAAAGATGCTGTTTAACCTTTATTTTAATGGAGGCCATGATTATTTTTATTACTGATGGCTTTGCTCTGTAAAGGACTGTAGGCCATTTACCACCATTGAATGCTCTGCTGTCACTCACTCCATCGTAGCTCTGGCTGCATGTTTAGACTCACTGTCCTGCATTCAGATGCCAGCCACACCTTTCAGATTCACTTCTTGCGTCCTGTAACGCGCTCAGACAACAAAAGCTGTGCTGCTGTAGTTCAGCATGAGGCAGAAACAAGAACAAACCGACCAGGCAACGACTTAACGAGCGACGTCATCGTCTGCTGCTGCTGAGGTCAGAGGTCAAAGGTCGCCGCTGTGACTGACAGGAGGTCACAACCAGGAAGTGGAGGAACAAAACTCATAGTGACGTGCCTTAGTAGTGACGCAGACAGATCACGGGTCAGGGTGAGGCAGGCGGCGCCTGCAGGAAATCATGGGGATGGATCTGATCCCAGGTGTTCTAAAGGTCTCATCACAGCGTGACGACGACCAGGATTCAGCAGATCCATTAGAGAAACAATAAAAATGTTTAAAGGTTTGCTCACTTTGCAGAGGAGACGATGAGCGACGAGTCCTTGTAGGCAATCAGGTAGCTCTGGTTCTCTGGGTTGTGGACCGTCACCTGAAACCAAACAGGAAGTTATCTCTATGCAGGCAGACAGGTAGACAGACCCCGCCCCCCGCCCCGAAACACTGGATGCTCTTACGCTCTCCAGCACCCGCAGACAGCGCTCTGCTCCCCACAGCGACGACACCAGCTTCTCCTCCTGGTCCAGGTTCTTCACGCACTCTTTCACTGAGGAGAGGAACAGTTGGTTAGAAACCAGAAACCATGAGCGTCGGCGCGTTTCCTCGCCGTCACCCTGAGATTAACACCTTTATCCACGATGTGGTCCAGTCCTCCCAGCAGCCGCAGCTCCTCTTTGAACCAGTCCCCTGCTCGCTTCGAGGTCAGGGACAGCAGCGTCTCCATGGCCAAATGTCCCGTCTGGAGGGACAGAGAAGACGTCATGAGATGCTAACAACACCCTGGATTACTGAGAATGAAGAATAATCCAACATGTTTCAACCTGAGGATTACAAATCTGAGATTATTGCATCACATTTATGTCAAAATAAAAACAAAGTCTGTTCATCTAGTTTCACGTATGGCTTCATTAACCTCCGCGCAGGAACTGCAGCGGTTTGACCTAAATGTGACGTAATCTCAGATTAAAATCCCCGAGTGCAGCAGGTCGCTCAGAGCTGCAGGTACCGTGATGTTCTGCAGGTCCAGGTGCTTGTTGTGCACCGTGTCGCACAGCTTCCGGATCTTCTCCTTGATCTTTGCTAGCTCTTTGGCACTAAACTGGATGCTGGAGTCCGGCTCCGTCCCGGCGCCGTGATCCTGGTCCAGCTCCAGGAGCCGGATCATCAGGTCCAAACAGGATCGGTCCAGGTCCATGTTCAGCCGGTCTCTGCTCAGGATGTACATCAGCGCCGCCGTGCAGAGAGCCAGGTTCTGCAGAGAGAGGGAGCGGCGGTTAAATCCCAGGATCAGACCGGGCCTTGCTGGCAGGTGGGGTGGGGGTGGGGGGTTACCGGGAGCTGAGGAGCGTCATTCAGTGTCTTGAAGACCTGAGCTACCTTCCCTCTGGCTCGGAGGTGCATCCTGAAGCTGGGCATGGCGCAGCGAGTGGCCAGGCTGATCACACTGAGGACAGCAAGCACAAGCATGGTCACCAGGAGACACCCAGAGGGCTCCCAGAGGGGGGCGGGGGGCTGTCCTACCTGAGGCAGCGGGTGTTGAGGGGCTGCCCGCTCTTCAGACCGGTGGCCAGGTACTCAAAGTCGTCGGTGAACTCCTGGTTCTCTCCAAACTCCACCACATCGTTGAAGTGCTTCACATGCTGGACCACCGTGTAAAGCTGCAGACAGAGACGCAGGAGAAACGTCCAATCAGGAGAAACGTCCAATCAGGAGGAAGACGTTGACAACAGCTGATCAAAGATTCACAGAACGCCGCATTCTGCAGCCAATCAGGAGGATCTCTGAGCAAACAAACCTCTTTGTGTTCTTTATGACACTTTAGTGCTGTGACCGTGTCCTGGTACGGGTCTGTGGGAACAGTGACACACTTGGTGACCTTTGGAGGAGGGGGCGGAGCCTTGAAGACCCCGTCGTCCCTCTGGGCCTCGGCGGGCTCCTTGGTGGAGCTCCCAGTTGCCACGGTCGCCTGCAGGGATGAAGGATATTCTGAAGGACTTTCTTGGAGCCTGAGGTCCAGGCAGACAGCGCGGCGTGTTCTTACCGGGTTGGAATGTGAACGAGAGAAGAAAGGCGGCGGCGGCTCCTCCTCGCTCTCCATGGTCCAGTGTCTGGCGTTGTACACGGCTTTGGTGGGAGACTGAAACAGGAGATGGTCAGGATAAAGAAGCTGCGTCATGTTTTCCTGATGTAGAAGCAGCCGCTCTGAGCAGAAACACGATTTATTCAGACTGTCAGCCCTAAATGTTGGACTCCTGAAGCGAGAAACCATCTTTGCTACGTATTATTGTGGCTTTTATCAGGAACATGAGAGCGCCTCTAACAGAGGACCAGCTCGCTGAATTATTTAGAAATCTTTCCCTGACAGCAAACTTTGGGTTGTTTACACTCAGTGACTTAACGTCAATGTATTTCAGACACACATGTTTAGCTTAGAGGAGGAAGGTTTGTTGTTCTTTGGGGCAATTTGGTGGATTGAATGGGAGGAAACCAAGAGATAGTTTAGATGATAACTGGTGGGGATATCAGTACTAAATCCAAATGTCAAACAGATGCTGCGATTTTTTTTTTTCATGATTCTTCAAGAAAATTGGAGTCTTCATTTCCTAGAGATCAATAAAATATTGTTTCAGAGAATCTAAATTTCAGCATTTTGGGGGGAGGAAAGCCCCGGACCCCCCTACTATGCTGCAGTGTGGAGAAAAAAACAAAACTGTACACCCTATGGCCGTTTCTCAATTAACAAGAACACGAGTACGGACCCGTGTCCTCACCAAGTCTGGGTTCCTGACTAGAACCCAGTAGAGTCTGGACTCGGGGAGAACTGGACCCGCAGAATAAATGTGGGTCAACTAGAACAGCAGCGTACTGATGACATCACCACATTCAAAGCTGGTCTGGAGCTGGTTTTCCCCTCCTGTTATTAATAGTCTCTAGATTATAATAAATTATGACTTTTTTCATTTAGTGGAGGAATAATAATGAACACAGTCAGATTTTACCAAATAAAACAATCTAACCTCCATCAGGTTTGATTGTTGGTTGTTTTCTTAAATTATGCCTTAAATCAGTAAATGTTCCATATAGTGAAGCTTAAAGTATAATATTCTCGCCTCTAATGATCTTAAAACGCACTTTTATTGAACTACGGCAACAGAAAGAGAACTTTTAATCCTCTGAGCTCTGTGAGCGCTAACCTGGAAGCTGCTGCTGCTGCAGTGCATGCTGGGAAAGCTGTCAGTCTGGAGGATGGACCAGTCTGCTCTGATGCATGCTGGGTAAAGAGGGAGGGGCCAGTACAGCATCCGGGGACTTTGCCTGTTCTCTGTCTGCTGTTCTTATGAATTGGAACAGTACTGGGGCTGAGGATGATGATGTTTCACGAGGACAAGAGAATTCACAGGAACACAGATTGAGAAACGGCCTATGAAATATTCCTAGCTAAAAGCCTGGTGGTAACGCCAGAAGAATGACCGGCAAACTTTGCTTCAGCAATAATAAAGAGCAGAAGGTCAAAAAGCCTGAAGTTGGAGTAGAAAAGGCAGAAAGCAGACGGCTGGAGCTGAAGCACACAGAGTGGAGGTGAAGGAGGAACCAGCAGATGCAGGGAGGGAGGGAGGTGAAGGAGGAACCATCAGATGCAGGGAGGGAGGGAGGTGAAGGAGGAACCAGCAGATGCAGGGAGGGAGGGAGGTGAAGGAGGAACCAGCAGATGCAGAGGAGGTTGGTGAGAGTGGACTCTGCCAGCCTGATCAAACAGCAGGACACACTTAAAACAAGCAGCCTCCCCGGCCGGACCCGGCCCGCTGAGCCAAAGCTGCGGCCGCTGGCTGCCAAGGCATTCATGATGAGAAACAAAAGACCAACAGAGGGAAGCAGAGGAGGCGGAGCTGGCAGGGAGAAGGTTCTCCACAGGGTTAATAAGCAGAGACAAAGGAGGAGATCAGGGATGAGCTGAGCAGAGTTTGGAACATCAACACAGCAAATTAAAGCCTGCTGCAGTAATCTGAGTGACACAGGCAGACCAGGACCCCGTCCCACCCCCACCTGCTGCTGATAAGGCAGGGAGGGGAACGGACACACGCTTGGTCTGCTGAATGCGGCGCTCGCTGCCAGAGGATCCCTGACGAGGCGGGTCACATCGCCAACATTAACGCCCTTCGTGACCCTGAAGTCCACGCTATGCATCCGCACCGCGCCGACGCCGCTTCCAAAGAGTTCGCTTCACATTACCACCAACAAGTCTGTCTGTCACTATGGAAACGTTTCACACTGATCCCAGCCCAATAAGCCGACAGCATGTTGGGTCCGTTAGATCGCTGCGAGGTCCTGAGCCTGGTACCGGGCGTCCGTCATTCATTTACCTGAAGGAGCAATTCTCTTCATTACATCTGTCGTATGACTCACGGTCATACAGTAGGAACTATTCACAATCTCCCCACTTTCCTTGTCGGGCCTTTGGTTGGTCTCCTACAGTTCCTTTTTAAAATGTTCCGTCATGATTTGTGGACATTAAGATGGAAAGAGCAGCGCCATCTCCTGGTCAGACCCTGTAATTCAGTGAAAGGGTGGAGTCAGAGGAAAAACTGCACGCCCAGGAGAAGGCCAGAGGCTGGAAGTTAGAGGGGATTTTGCTGCCGTTCAGCAAGATTTTGACGGGGTCGGCCATTTTGAATGGCTGCTACTGTACCGCCCGTTTTAAAAACACAGAAACAGCAAATAAGAGAAATAAGCAAAGGTCTTCAGAGATTCTTCTTTGGGTTTCACTTTAAATGCAGCAGATCAGTGTGTGGGAAAAGATTTGGAGCCGCTGGATTCAGCTGGAACTGATCAGAAGTCTGTAACATTCAGCAGCAAACCACAGGTGAGGTCAGCTGCTGGTCGAACCCACTTAATCACCTCCGACTCCCCCAGGAGGTCAGAACCTTTATTCACCTCAGACTCTAAGCTCTTAAGGAGAGCAGAAGGAAACAGCACCATGGAGAGCTCCAATAAGGGAACCACTGCGACCACAGAGCGGACCCCCTCCCACCTCACCTGCTGGGATTTGGACGCCCCAGTTGGATGATGTTCATCCTGGTAGCTCAGGAGTCAAACCAGTCGTATGCAACATTGGCTGCAAGCGTGTCTCTTAATCATCATTTAATTTATTGAACCAGATTAAAGCCTGGCTGAGATCTAGATCTCATTGGCAGTGCACGGAGGAATAATTAACCATTAAACATTTAGAAGATAAAAGAATATTGGCTCTGATTAACTGAGTGACGTTGCTCTTTTGAAATGATGATGGAATAAGACCAGAGCTCATCTGATGGAGTTCACACCAGAGATGAGTTTCTATTCAAAAAATAACTTTCTACACCACCATCAATCTAAGCAAAGCACCGTAAACACACACTCTGCAGCGGGGGAGGGACCTTACTCTGATTGGCTGAGCAGCGGAATGTGGGCGGGGCTTTATTTGGGTTAGGACTGAGAGGAGAACCTGTCACTAACCGATCTGTCCAGGAAGCACGACCTGTCCTGCGGTGAGTGAACAGATTAACATCCAGTCTCCATCAATAATGGAATGATGGTTCTAAAATCACTTATTTCTATCATTAGCTCTCCAAATAATGCTAATACACATCTGTAAAAATGTTTGACTGTTCTGAGAAAATGTTGATGCTTTTTAAATTTTCTCTGATGTCATCATGGGACATGAGAGCAGTAAATCTGAATAAACAATGTTTATCTGCATTTTAATTGTTTCTTTCTTTAGATTACGGACTATATAGCATAATGTTAACATGAAAGGAAAACATTAAACTCAAAAATGTTTAAATCCAAAGCTGATAAAGTTAGCTCCTGGAAGTAGCGTAGCATCCATTTCCTGTACAGATCGAGAACAGAAGGATAAACAGAAAGGATTTAAAAGCAATTATTTTATCAGGAAATACATTATTAACCTTTAACACATTATAGTTTAGTACTTTAAATATTTTTGGGGAGGGGAAAACGTCATTTATGTCTTTTTAATAATAAAATCCAGGGCGACTCAGATGTATATCTGGATGCGCGGGAGGGACGGACCGCGCTCCCCCGGGGACGGACCGCGCTCCCCCGGGGACGCACCGCGCTCCACCGGGGACGCACCGCGCTCCACCGGGGACGGACCGCGCTCCACCGGGGACGGACCGCGCTCCCCCGGGGACGGACCGCGCTCCCCCGGGGACGGACCGCGCTCCCCCGGGGACGGACCGCGCTCCCCCGGGGACGGACCGCGCTCCCCCGGGGACGGACCGCGCTCCCCCGGGGACGCACCGCGCTCCACCGGGGACGCACCGCGCTCCACCGGGGACGGACCGCGCTCCACCGGGGACGGACCGCGCTCCCCCGGGGACGCACCGCGCTCCCCCGGGGACGGACCGCGCTCCCCCGGGGACGGACCGCGCTCCACCGGGGACGGACCGCGCTCCCCCGGGGACGCACCGCGCTCCCCCGGGGACGCACCGCGCTCCACCGGGGACGGACCGCGCTCCCCCGGGGACGCACCGCGCTCCCCCGGGGACGGACCGCGCTCCCCCGGGGACGGACCGCGCTCCCCCGGGGACGCACCGCGCTCCACCGGGGACGGACCGCGCTCCACCGGGGACGGACCGCGCTCCCCCGGGGACGGACCGCGCTTCCCCGGGGACGGACCGCGCTCCCCCGGGGACGCACCGCGCTCCCCCGGGGACGCACCGCGCTCCCCCGGGGACGGACCGCGCTCCCCCGGGGACGCACCGCGCTCCCCCGGGGACGGACCGCGCTCCCCGGGATGCACCGCGCTCCCCGGGACGGATCGTGTAGTGACAGAGCCGATGGCAGCGATTAAGTGCGAACTGGAGACATTCCCTGAGGTCAAAGTTCAAATGTTCCTGTGATCTGCTTACTAAAAACAAACACCTTCTCCCCGTTAGCCAGAGGCTTCTGAGATGCTGTCATCTCACCGTCAGTCACACCCAGAGCTGCAGCTGCTTTAGCTCACCAACTCATAACACTCTCTACCTTTTTCCATGTCATCCTGAACTCACCAGTTTACCATTATTTCTACAAAGAAAAACTATTTTAGAAACTCATTTGGAACCGGTAGAAGGACCTGATGGGGCAGAAAAGCTTGTGAACAAACATCAGTCCAATAAAAGCCATAATCTACAGATGCATCTGAAGACAGTAGGTCTCATTAACAGGAACCTGCTGAGACCAAGCGGCAGAGTCTGTTTAGCTGAACATGATGATCAGTCTGGCTTTATGTGGTGGCATAAAGAAGAGGCATCCAACATGAACAGATTCTCTGCTCTGCATCAGCTCTAAGAAGGCTGATCGATAACTGATCTGAGGCCAGCGGTCAGGCGAGGAGCCACGGGCCATCAGAACGGAGCAAAGAGCAGCAGCTCTGCCAACTGCTAACAGTTAGCACGAGGCAAGGGCCGGCATGAACTCTAACAGAACAACTAATTTAAGCAAAAATAGCAGTTTGATGGTATCATGATTACAGCTCCATCTCTGACATTTCTAATTTAAAAAAACTGAGAAAAATTAAATTCTAGATGTGATTTTCGCTGCTCTTCAGTATAAATGTTTTAGCATTTAAATACACTCTGTAACTCCTCTTCCCTCCATTAAAGACATTTCATCCCAGCGCTGCATGTCCCGTGACATCATCAATGACCCCTCACCCCCCCACCTGCTGCCCTCTGGGAAGAGGCTTCCCAGCATTCAATGCAGGACCAGCAGGTTCTGCAGCAGCTTCTTCCCCACCGCCATCACACTGAGGAATGTTGAAACATCACCAAGCATCTGCATCATACTTAGAATGTTTGCACTGCCGACATGGCTGAATATTTTTAGAATCCCTTTAAATAGAATTTAATGTTCTACAGCTTTTTGCACCATATTTATTTATTCTGCACTGAACCTTTCCATATCAATGCCTTTTGCAACATGACTTCACTGGTTTATTTTCTCTTTGTTTACATTCTGATCACTGCTGCACTTTGTAAACGGTAATGTTCATTTCACTGCTAAGCTGCTCATTATCTGTTCATAAGCTCTACGCATCGACATTTTGTTTTCTATGCACTCTGTGTGTATAAGAAGACAAAGTTTGTCTAAAACTAACCAAGTTTAGATCATAAACTCAAGTTAAAATAAAGTTCTTTTTACTTAACTTTATGTATTTTCTTCCACTGGGATGATAAATTAATCTGCATCTTTGTTCTACCATTTCTGTTAACCACTTTGTGACCTGCCCTCTCTATTGAAGGTGCTATAGAAATACATTTACTAACTGTTCCTTATGTTCCTAACTAGGGATGGGGATTGTTAATATTTATTGATATCGATACCTTTATCGATACTCCTTATTGATCCGAGTCTTTATCGATACCACTATCGATACTTTTCTGTTATTTGGGGGAAAGACGATGCAACAATATTTTTTTAACAGACAGAAAAGAAGTGGGGAAAAAATTATTTGAAGAAATGTCTTCTTTTGGTTTAAAAAAATATATACATTTTCACAATTGTTGGTTAATGTATTGTCTACTGTCACTTTTCATCACGTTTTTAGTGATTAGGAAACTATTTAGTAAATAAATAATTGTATTTTAAATTAAATGTAATTTTTAATAAATGTTGGCATCAGTAGTTAATTATATATTCTAAAATAGTTAGAGCAATATACAACTGTATTACTCATGTTTCTCGCCAAAATCTCAATTTCCCGTTTTCTTTACGTTACACTCGAACGCATCATGATAACCTAATTGTCGTTTTACTGAGCCAATCTGAACACATCATCACGCAGCACGTCTGAAACTTTATTTACTTTTCAAGCTAACTAGCTTGTATGCTTCCGATTACAACACAGATTTCACAATTACTATTTTTAACTGACCGGACAAGCTACAAAGTCTGTGTGCGCTTACCAGTGGTACTCTGAGTGGATGATGAAGACAGACCGGATGTGGTGCGACGGCAGCAGCAGGACAGTCGAAGGTACTGCATTTAGCCTTTATTTGATGCACAATACTAATGTGCTTGGCCATTGAAGTTGTGTTCCCCCCTTTAAAAGAGATGATTTTGCAACATAAGTTGCATTCTGCTTCTTCTTTATCTTTGAGCTTGGTAAAATGAAGCCAAACTTTAGACCTTTTCGTCCGTTCAGCCATCCTCGAATCACGAGCGAAGTTAACTGCCAGACTTCACTTGTTTTACTTTTAATATCTGTTTGCTTACAATTTCATTCCAAAGCATTGGTGGACATGCTGCAGTGATTGGATTGATTAGATTTAAATGCTGTGACGCGACTCGACGGACACACAATTATGTTACAGGACCTCCGGGAGAAAAAAACAAAAAGACTCGATAGTGGTATCGATAAGCCCAAACGTTATTGATTTTCGGGTTTTGAAAAAAGTGGAACCGGGTCCTTGATGGAACCGGGTTTCGATCCCCATCCCTATTCCTAACAGAGCACTTCGCTCTCAATCTGCAGGTTTACTAGTGGTTCCTAGAATTTGTAAAAGTAGAATGGGAGGCAGATCTTTTAGTTATCAGGCTCCTCTCCTGTGGAACCAACTACCAGTTTTAGTCCGTGAGGCAGACACCCTGTCTACTTTTAAGGCTAGGCTTAAAACTTTCCTTTTTGATGAAGCTTCTAGTTAGAGTGGCTCAGGTTATCCTGATCTATCTCTATAGTTCTGCTGCTATAGGCTTAGACTGCTGGAGGACATAGGGACCCCTTTTTCATCATTCTGCTTCATTCTATCTCTATTCTCCCACTCTGCAGAATCTGTTAGTTCAATCTCTAACGTTCTGCTCTCTCTGCTTTTTCTCATAGTAGCTTCATCTGGTCTGTTCCTGTTTGGCTGGATGATCTGGTTGAATTGTCTCTATAAAGTGACCTGAGATGACATGATGTGAATTGGAGCTATAGAAATAAACTGAATAGATTTAACTTTTAATATTTTGTTGAAGCCGCTTTTAGAAAACATGTGTGATCTAGAAAATGTTTCTGTCAGCCATACTAATAATTTTGGCTGCTATATATAAACTGTTTTCTGTGCAGAGAAGAATGAGCGCAGTCAGACGGGCCACAGCTACGCTTTATTTCTGCTTTCACTTTATCAGCAGAGCATTAGTGAGCAGAACAATCACCAAACTGTTAGGCTCAGGAACACGACGCTAACAGTTGTTAGCTTGTTCATTCCATTCTAGACCCCTTTCACCTACTGTGGCTGATACTCCACACAGAGCATTAGATCAGCTGCTGTCTGAACACACAGAGAAGCCTTCTTCCAGCTGTTTTCCTCTTTTAGCTTTGGATGAAGTTTTCCCACTTAGCTGACTTTAAGCTGTTTCATACTACACCAGTTAGCCCTGCTTTAAGGGGCCAAAGGCATCCCCTCCATCCGCTACCACACTACTGAAGCTGCAGAGGCAACAGCTACAGGGAGCGCTGGGGGGGTGGGGGGTGGCAGAGACTGCAGGAGGAGTATGACAGAACGTCAGTGGTTCTGAAGCCGTGACTTGTCCATCCTGGGGGAATAGCTTGGAAGCAGTAAGCAGCCTCTGGTACCAAGCCCCGCCCCTACAGGTAGATCCACACATCTAGATGCAGCAGGTCAGATGTTTCCCAAACGGAGCTCTAATCAGATGGAAATGGGTCCTTTTAAAAAGCTGCTCAGCTGAGCAGAGACGAGTAAACAGCTGGGTCTCATTTTCAGCATGAAGGAAACATTTCAGAAGCTTAAATATAAACCAGTGAGTACGTTCAAGAAAATTATTTACTTTACACCATTTTAAAGATGATTAAATATGAATGATTAATGGTTTGAATGAGTCTAATCCACTCAGGGTCAGGAGGATAAATATCTGAAGCAACGTCTCATGACAACATCCCCCTTCAGCAGCCATTAGCAACTAATTCTGCTCTTTAAAGTTCAACAGACTGTGGTGAAGCGCTTCAGACTGGTTCTTCCAGCATTTCCACCATCATCTGTCCCTTTGGGAGCGCTGGCTTAGTGGTTAGAGCAGCGCTCTGCGCTCTGAGAAGGTTGCAAGTACCCGGTTCAAGACGCCTAACCCCACACTGCTCCCCAGGCGCCACACAATGGCAGCCCTCTGCTCCCTAAGGGGAGGGGTTAAATACAGAGAGGGAATTCCTCCTTTATTTCCGTCCCACATTATCTGCATTCTGTCAGCAGTGTCTTTTCTGACACCTGTGCAGGTATTCAGCCCATATGTGACGCAGCGTCTGACCTTCTTGTGTGCACTGAAGATTCTCCGTAACGTGTCGGGGTTCTTCTCCGCCTGCTTGCCCATGGCCGGCCTCCTGGGACCGCTCGCCAGCACTCGAAGGCTGTCTTCTGAGAAGTCCACCGTACCTGCAGGAAACCAGATCACCTCCATTAGCCCTCTCTGCTTCTAGGCTCCGCCTGAGCAGGACGCTCAGCAGAGGCTCTGATGACGTCACTGTTTGGATCAAAGCATTCCTCTGCTGGCGCGCCATGTTTACATTTCTACACAGATACATTTACTGGTTTCTCTAGCGCTGATGTTCCAGTGGGAAGATTCCCGTTTCCTGGGAGAAACTAAACCTGAAGCATTCAGGGGAAAAGAGGCTAGTTTCTCTGTGCAGCTGAACAGAGTTCATCAGGAGAACAAACAGTTTAACCCCGCGGTGTTCAGTCGTCAGGAGAACAGGACGTGGAGAGAGAACCTGAGAGCGTTTACCTCGATGCGGCTTCCTGTCCAGCCTCTCAGAGGTCTTCTTGCTCTCCCTGCTGGCTGGTTTCTCCCAGACCTGCAGACTCTCTCTGCTCTCCAGCCTCTCAAACGGATCTGGAACATCGTCGCCCATCGCCTCCTTCGCCGTAAGCGCTGGGGTCACCGTGGAGACGGCAGGCTGCATAACCTTCCTCCTCATGTGGGGTTCAGAGTCGCCGTCCGCGCCGTCACTGTCGCTCATGTCATCGAAGCCAAAGTATTGGATTTTGTAGCTGGACCTGCCGTCTGTGCTGTCGCCGCTGTTTTCCCCCTGATCGAAATCCGTGTCGTCGAAGCCGAACAGGTCGTCCTTTGACTTGGTCTGCTTGGGCCTGACAAGAGAACTGACATCAGACAAGAGGACAGAGGTTTTCTTTCAGTTTATTAAAAGAATGTTTTAATATTTTATCTCCTTCAGAGAAACAAGATTTAGTGAAAAATGTGAATTCAAAGATTTTGTCAGGTCTACAGAGCATCCTTTATATCTGATCCTTAGAAAATCTACTAGTTATCGTTTCTATTGTAACTATTTTTATGAATTCCCTACAACTTTAAATGTATTTTGCTCAAATGTCAACAGATTTAGATTTTTCTTAGTTCTTTATTTACAATGTATGGAAGCGTATTGCATCCGAAGAAAAACTAATTTAATAAAAGATGAGATGTCATTCTTAGGAGATCAGGAAGGACAGTCATTGCTGAGCTACGCTGCACGAAACATGAACAATGGTTGTCAGATTAATCAGCTTTTATTTCCTTTTAGTGAAATACTGAGTTTCCTCAGTGTGGATGGAAATAGTTTTAGTTTGTCAGCATCGGGCAGTCAGTCCACTCTACTCTGACCTGCTGGAAGTTCCTGCAGGAGCCTTTAAACCAGCACAGGAAGCTTTATGGCTCCAAATGATGCATCTGAAACTAGTCCCAGCTGGCTCTGTGGCGACCCAAAGAACCGTTCAGTACCTGCTAAACAATCCGACATCCTTTAAGGTTTGCAGCTGAGGCTTCAGCGTCGTTTAAAACGACCAGGTCCCAACGTCATGCAGCATGTGGATTCATACGAACAACTAAAACCATAAAGAGTCTGTAAGGAGCTGCTGACTGATTTTGGCGTATGGTCGCATGGCTGCATGCTTACTGCACTAGTAGTAATCCCAGGTGAAGTATTAAACCGGAGCGGAGCTCCAACGGGCATCAGGTCAGACCGCGGTACAGAGAAATGTTCAATGGAACAGATGATTTTAAGAAGTTTTCTTAAATAAGATTTATTACTGGCTCCATGAGTCATGACCAAATATAGAGATACGCATCTAGTAATTATGAGATAAGCGTTCGTATTTATTTTTCTTGCAATGCAATACGCTCCGTAACAAAGCAGCCAATCTTTTTCACCTAGAAACGGTGGTTCATATATTAGAACAGTTCGTGGTCGTCCATTCAGCAGTGATCTCTAATGTTGTCTTTTTCAGTCTGTGCTCCAGCTCTGAACCGCAGCCGGTCAGTCGCCACACAGACCATAACAGTCTTCTGTCATAGTTAGACCTTTCCTGATCCTCCATTTTAACCTGATGCAGCTCCAGTCTGACTGGATTGATGCTAACTGGCATAAACCAGTAATTATTGATTTAACTGTAAATAAAGCGATTCTGTCAGGAACTATTCTGACATCAGCAGCTTAGAAACGGAAGAGGACGTGATCTAAGGAGTCCTGCTTCTGCAAGCCAACATCCGCTGGTTTTCAAACCAACCACCTGTCCTACCTCGGCTGCTGCGCTTCCGTCTTTTTCCGCTGCCATCCCGTTTCTCCAAGCTCTGCCGTATCTCCTGAGGGGCCAACGCTAGGGGGCGCTGCATCGGCAGGGAACTCCTCCCTGCCCCTGTCCTGGTTGGTGACGTTAGTCATGGAAATGGATGAGGGCTGCAGCACTGTGCAGTCCCTCGTCCTGCCTCGGCCCCCTCCCCTGCCTGTTGTTTTGGTCTGGGGGGCTTCAGGTGTGACGCCAAAGGCTGCGTCGTCGAAGCTGCTGGAGTCCGGGGCTTTGCCAGAGCCCTGCTTGTTGGGCCTCCTGTACGTCCGGCAGTTGGAGTTCCTTTCCAGCGATACGGAGGCGGATGTCTGGGGGAATTTCTCAGCGGGGGCAGACCCCCCCATTACGTCGTTTCTCTCACCGAGGTGCTGCAGCTGTGGAGGAGACGGGGGCTTCCTGTGTAGGCTTTGCACTGAGTTAAGACCACCGGAACCCCAGGAGAGCGAGGGGGCCGGCTTCCGAGGTTCCTGAACTGGCGACTGTGGGCGGAGCCCCACGATGGCGTCCCAGGAGTCATACGTGGATTCTGCCTTGGAGCCCGACTTCAGGGTGGTGGTCTGGGACAGGGGCTGCTTATCGCTGTCTGAAGCATTCTGGTACCACGAGTAGCTGTGCTGGTTCTGCGGCAACGCCGGGTTCTGCCATGACGTTCCTACAGAGACAAAGATGGCAGGATTAAATCTGCACGACTTCAGGGGAAAACTGAGCAGGAAAATACGCCGAAAAAGAGACGATGGTTTGGTTCAAGTCCAGACGGGAGGAGGAGGAATACTTTCCTTATTAACAGCATCAGGGACGTCTTTACATTCATGCAATAAATAACAACCATGTGCATTGCTCAGAGAGAGGGAGACTTCCAGCAGATAACGGGAAGTTCTAGTGAGGACGCAGGCAGCAGCGTCTGGATCAGCTGTCTGATCTACTTTCTATAGTTCTAGTGAGGACGCAGGCAGCAGCGTCTGGATCAGCTGTCTGATCTACTTTCTATAGTTCTAGTGAGGACGCAGGCAGCAGCGTCTGGATCAGCTGTCTGATCTACTTTCTATAGTTCTAGTGAGGACGCAGGCAGCAGCGTCTGGATCAGCTGTCTGATCTACTTTCTATAGTTCTAGTGAGGACGCAGGCAGCAGCGTCTGGATCAGCTGTCTGATCTACTTTCTATAGTTCTAGTGAGGACGCAGGCAGCAGCGTCTGGATCAGCTGTCTGATCTACTTTTTATAGTTCTAGTGAGGACGCAGGCGGCAGCGTCTGGATCAGCTGTCTGATCTACTTTCTATAGTTCTAGTGAGGACGCAGGCGGCAGCGTCTGGATCAGCTGTCTGATCTACTTTCTATAGTTCTAGTGAGGACGCAGGCGGCAGCGTCTGGATCAGCTGTCTGATCTACTTTCTATAGTTCTAGTGAGGACGCAGGCGGCAGCGTCTGGATCAGCTGTCTGATCTACTTTCTATAGTTCTAGTGAGGACGCAGGCGGCAGCGTCTGGATCAGCTGTCTGATCTACTTTCTATAGTTCTAGTGAGGACGCAGGCGGCAGCGTCTGGATCAGCTGTCTGATCTACTTTCTATAGTTCTAGTGAGGACGCAGGCGGCAGCGTCTGGATCAGCTGTCTGATCTACTTTCTATAGTTCTAGTGAGGACGCAGGCGGCAGCGTCTGGATCAGCTGTCTGATCTACTTTCTATAGTTCTAGTGAGGACGCAGGCGGCAGCGTCTGGATCAGCTGTCTGATCTACTTTCTATAGTTCTAGTGAGGACGCAGGCAGCAGCGTCTGGATCAGCTGTCTGATCTACTTTCTATAGTTCTAGTGAGGACGCAGGCAGCAGCGTCTGGATCAGCTGTCTGATCTACTTTCTATAGTTCTAGTGAGGACGCAGGCAGCAGCGTCTGGATCAGCTGTCTGATCTACTTTCTATAGTTCTAGTGAGGACGCAGGCAGCAGCGTCTGGATCAGCTGTCTGATCTACTTTCTATAGTTCTAGTGAGGACGCAGGCAGCAGCGTCTGGATCAGCTGTCTGATCTACTTTTTATAGTTCTAGTGAGGACGCAGGCGGCAGCGTCTGGATCAGCTGTCTGATCTACTTTCTATAGTTCTAGTGAGGACGCAGGCGGCAGCGTCTGGATCAGCTGTCTGATCTACTTTCTATAGTTCTAGTGAGGACGCAGGCGGCAGCGTCTGGATCAGCTGTCTGATCTACTTTCTATAGTTCTAGTGAGGACGCAGGCGGCAGCGTCTGGATCAGCTGTCTGATCTACTTTCTATAGTTCTAGTGAGGACGCAGGCGGCAGCGTCTGGATCAGCTGTCTGATCTACTTTCTATAGTTCTAGTGAGGACGCAGGCGGCAGCGTCTGGATCAGCTGTCTGATCTACTTTCTATAGTTCTAGTGAGGACGCAGGCAGCAGCGTCTGGATCAGCTGTCTGATCTACTTTCTATAGTTCTAGTGAGGACGCAGGCAGCAGCGTCTGGATCAGCTGTCTGATCTACTTTCTATAGTTCTAGTGAGGACGCAGGCAGCAGCGTCTGGATCAGCTGTCTGATCTACTTTCTATAGTTCTAGTGAGGACGCAGGCAGCAGCGTCTGGATCAGCTGTCTGATCTACTTTCTATAGTTCTAGTGAGGACGCAGGCAGCAGCGTCTGGATCAGCTGTCTGATCTACTTTCTATAGTTCTAGTGAGGACGCAGGCGGCAGCGTCTGGATCAGCTGTCTGATCTACTTTCTATAGTTCTAGTGAGGACGCAGGCGGCAGCGTCTGGATCAGCTGTCTGATCTACTTTCTATAGTTCTAGTGAGGACGCAGGCGGCAGCGTCTGGATCAGCTGTCTGATCTACTTTCTATAGTTCTAGTGAGGACGCAGGCGGCAGCGTCTGGATCAGCTGTCTGATCTACTTTCTATAGTTCTAGTGAGGACGCAGGCGGCAGCGTCTGGATCAGCTGTCTGATCTACTTTCTATAGTTCTAGTGAGGACGCAGGCGGCAGCGTCTGGATCAGCTGTCTGATCTACTTTCTATAGTTCTAGTGAGGACGCAGGCAGCGGCGTCTGGATCAGCTGTCTGATCTACTTTCTATAGTTCTAGTGAGGACGCAGGCAGCGGCGTCTGGATCAGCTGTCTGATCTACTTTCTATAGTTCTAGTGAGGACGCAGGCAGCGGCGTCTGGATCAGCTGTCTGATCTACTTTCTATAGTTCTAGTGAGGACGCAGGCAGCGGCGTCTGGATCAGTGTCTGATCTACTTTCTATAGTTCTAGTGAGGACGCAGGCAGCGGCGTCTGGATCAGCTGTCTGATCTACTTTCTATAGTTCTAGTGAGGACGCAGGCAGCGGCGTCTGGATCAGCTGTCTGATCTACTTTCTATAGTTCTAGTGAGGACGCAGGCAGCGGCGTCTGGATCAGCTGTCTGATCTACTTTCTATAGTTCTAGTGAGGACGCAGGCAGTAGCGTCTGGATCAGCTGTCTGATCTACTTTCTATAGTTCTAGTGAGGACGCAGGCAGCGGCGTCTGGATCAGCTGTCTGATCTACTTTCTATAGTTCTAGTGAGGACGCAGGCAGCGGCGTCTGGATCAGCTGTCTGATCTACTTTCTATAGTTCTAGTGAGGACGCAGGCAGCGGCGTCTGGATCAGCTGTCTGATCTACTTTCTATAGTTCTAGTGAGGACGCAGGCAGCAGCGTCTGGATCAGCTGTCTGATCTACTTTCTATAGTTCTAGTGAGGACGCAGGCGGCAGCGTCTGGATCAGCCGTCTGATCTACTTTCTATAGTTCTAGTGAGGACGCAGGCGGCAGCGTCTGGATCAGCCGTCTGATCTACTTTCTATAGTTCTAGTGAGGACGCAGGCGGCAGCGTCTGGATCAGCTGTCTGATCTACTTTCTATAGTTCTAGTGAGGACGCAGGCGGCAGCGTCTGGATCAGCTGTCTGATCTACTTTCTATAGTTCTAGTGAGGACGCAGGCGGCAGCGTCTGGATCAGCTGTCTGATCTACTTTCTATAGTTCTAGTGAGGACGCAGGCGGCAGCGTCTGGATCAGCTGTCTGATCTACTTTCTATAGTTCTAGTTAGGACGCAGGCAGCAGCGTCTGGATCAGCTGTCTGATCTACTTTCTATAGTTCTAGTGAGGACGCAGGCAGCAGCGTCTGGATCAGCTGTCTGATCTACTTTCTATAGTTCTAGTGAGGACGCAGGCAGCAGCGTCTGGATCAGCTTTCTGATCTACTTTCTATAGTTCTAGTGAGGACGCAGGCAGCAGCGTCTGGATCAGCTGTCTGATCTACTTTCTATAGTTCTAGTGAGGACGCAGGCGGCAGCGTCTGGATCAGCCGTCTGATCTACTTTCTATAGTTCTAGTGAGGACGCAGGCGGCGGCGTCTGGATCAGCTGTCTGATCTACTTTCTATAGTTCTAGTGAGGACGCAGGCGGCGGCGTCTGGATCAGCTGTCTGATCTACTTTCTATAGTTCTAGTGAGGACGCAGGCAGCGGCGTCTGGATCAGCTGTCTGATCTACTTTCTATAGTTCTAGTTAGGACGCAGGCAGCGGCGTCTGGATCAGCTGTCTGATCTACTTTCTATAGTTCTAGTGAGGACGCAGGCAGCGGCGTCTGGATCAGCTGTCTGATCTACTTTCTATAGTTCTAGTGAGGACGCAGGCAGCGGCGTCTGGATCAGCTGTCTGATCTACTTTCTATAGTTCTAGTGAGGACGCAGGCAGCGGCGTCTGGATCAGCTGTCTGATCTACTTTCTATAGTTCTAGTGAGGACGCAGGCAGCGGCGTCTGGATCAGCTGTCTGATCTACTTTCTATAGTTCTAGTGAGGACGCAGGCAGCGGCGTCTGGATCAGCTGTCTGATCTACTTTCTATAGTTCTAGTGAGGACGCAGGCAGCGGCGTCTGGATCAGCTGTCTGATCTACTTTCTATAGTTCTAGTGAGGACGCAGGCAGCGGCGTCTGGATCAGCTGTCTGATCTACTTTCTATAGTTCTAGTGAGGACGCAGGCAGCGGCGTCTGGATCAGCCGTCTGATCTACTTTCTATAGTTCTAGTGAGGACGCAGGCAGCGGCGTCTGGATCAGCCGTCTGATCTACTTTCTATAGTTCTAGTGAGGACGCAGGCAGCGGCGTCTGGATCAGCTGTCTGATCTACTTTCTATAGTTCTAGTGAGGACGCAGGCAGCAGCGTCTGGATCAGCTGTCTGATCTACTTTCTATAGTTCTAGTGAGGACGCAGGCAGCAGCGTCTGGATCAGCTGTCTGATCTACTTTCTATAGTTCTAGTGAGGACGCAGGCAGCAGCGTCTGGATCAGCTGTCTGATCTACTTTCTATAGTTCTAGTGAGGACGCAGGCAGCAGCGTCTGGATCAGCTGTCTGATCTACTTTCTATAGTTCTAGTGAGGACGCAGGCAGCAGCGTCTGGATCAGCTGTCTGATCTACTTTCTATAGTTCTAGTGAGGACGCAGGCAGCAGCGTCTGGATCAGCTGTCTGATCTACTTTCTATAGTTCTAGTGAGGACGCAGGCAGCAGCGTCTGGATCAGCTGTCTGATCTACTTTCTATAGTTCTAGTGAGGACGCAGGCAGCAGCGTCTGGATCAGCTGTCTGATCTACTTTCTATAGTTCTAGTGAGGACGCAGGCAGCA